TAAATCTCCACGAGGTTCCTTTGAAGCAAAAGAGATGAAACTCATCTCAGAGCCTGAAGAGAAAGAGTTCTGTTTTCTGTGATCCACACAAAGGAATTTTGCTGTTTCAGAGATCAATGCAACCATCTATTTTAGACTCTTTTATCATTATTGAAGCCATAAAACAAACACTCTTGTATAAATGGCAAATATAGGATGTTTTTTTCCAGTGATTCTTAAATAACTTTGCTCAAAAACAAGTCCAATTTTGGGGTTTGGACAAGCTTTCTCAACAGCCACTTAACTATTCACTGCTAAAGATGCAGTGGATTTTTTGTTTATTTTGCCTTTAGCAGTTCGACCACTTTATTTCTAATGTCTGCTATCCCTGATATCCCTCCCACGTATTCCAGATACTCTTCTCTAGCTTTTCCAGTTAAGTAAGTGAACCACATTCAGTTTTAGCACAAAGCACTTGCAGATGTCCCACATAGGTTTAGAGAAATGAGATCTTGGCTGTGCCAGAATGGAATTACTTCCATTACCCTGAGTGCATAAGAAGGAGATCTGGCCAGCAGTATGCCAACAGACACCAGTCATTGCTGTCTTGAGCTTTGTGCTTAGTCTGGGCCTTCTCTGGTGTAACTACACAGATCTGCACTGGTTCTGGATGCAGCCATGCATAACAGTTCAGGAATGGCATTACTGGCATGAGTCTGCACTCCCTGAAGGTGATTGGAATGGGAGCCAGGTGATGATGAAGGTGACGATGAAGGTGACAGAACATGATGGCTGTGCAAGAACAAATGGATGTCTCCCAGAATTAGCTAGGGCCATGGTTTCTGGGTGTGTCGATGGATCATCTAGAAAAGAAGCTACGTGTGGGGAAGCTACATATGAACTCTCAGCAGGATGAGAGCAAATGCCAAGAGAGCAAATGCAATGCTTTTAAATAACCAGCAACAGCTGAGGAAGAAGAAAAGCTGCCACTTTTCACCTCATTCTTGAGATGGTTGGTTTTGGGTTCTGCAACCTCTTCTAATCTCAGCATTTCAATGAGGATGTTAAAAAGTGAAAATGGTTGAGAAGTAATGCTGTCTGTGAAGACATCTCTAGTGATGAGCACTTAAATACCAGCCTTTCTACCTCAAAGGTAGAACACAGGAGAGTAAATCTCTGCCTGAGACTACCTATGTGGAGAGGAAAATCTCCAGGCATTAGAGATTCTTCAGCAGTCTGTGAGTATCCTGGACTCAAAAATGAAACAAACTGAAACAGAGCACAGAGAGCTAAGCTGCACCATTTAGAAGAACTTATCCAGCAAATCTGCCATTCCTGCAAGTCTTGTAATCAATACTGCTGTCATAGAGAATAGCTCACTCAGAAATTAAATGCTAAATGAAGAACTCCATGAAATCCTATGCTCTGTATTATCTAAGATAGAGTAGATGATTGTAAATGTCCCCTCGGGTCTTAAAAATCTATGAGTATCGTTAAAAGGATAGGAACTTCTGGAGACTAAACAAGATGTCCTTAAAATGTTAAGGGATGTTCTTTTCTTGCAAGTTTTGCCTGAAGAATGACTAAATGATTTAGCCTAGAACTGGAAATAAGGTTGCAAAACTATCAAGTAAGCAAGCCCTAGAAATATCCAATTTCCTGCTAAATTTCTATTTTCCTTAACTCCATGTGAAAGCATATACAGCCAACAGAAAAACTTTGGGTTTAAAGGGGGAAGAGTAAATCTCAACAGGGACACGGAGAGGAGACCAGCTCCTCCACAGTCACATCTTGTGAATCACAGATATTATTACACCCAGATGTACACCAGTGCTCTACAGAAATCTAGTCTTTGAGGCTCCCCAGGTTCTGATGTCCTGCATAATCATGAGAGAGAAGTGGTGTGGCGATGCATTTCTGCACTCTGGGACCTGGATAGTGCATACTGCTTAGTTCAGCCTCCTTATTAACTAGCTGGAGTTTGTCATTCTGAATGTCAGGACAGTTTTATAATGTGGGGCTCCAGAATGACATGTTGTCTAATCCTCATTTCCTTGGAAGGTTTTTTTCTCCATTGCTGCAGCTAGCCATGTAGCAGAGCACAGAAAGCCAGGTATTCCCATAAAGCTCATGCTATATGGCTCATCACTGCAAAATATTTTCCATCATATCACTTCAAGTAGATGCTTAAGTCACTGGGAACATAGCTCATCCTCTTTATGGGGCTGTTCTTCATTCAGTGAAAAGGGGTTTCAGGACCATCTCTGACATTCACAGCAGAACTTCCCTTTTCTGCACAGATCAGCAAGGGTCAGGGCTGGTTAAGACCTTATTTTCTGCAGTTGGACCTGTTGCAAGGCTTGTCCTCAAACTGCCAGCATCAAGGAGGTCTTCAGTTTGAATCTCTTCAGCACATTCTCATTTCAGATGGGCAAGAAATACAGTGTGATCACATTTATGAGCGCCGCATAACAACAAAATAAGCCTAGCATCAGTTTCTTCCTAAGTGGTGCCTTTGGGAAGCAGTGTCTCAATTTTACTATACTTTGAGAAGACACTGTCCTCCTCCCTCCCTCCTAATAGCCGCTTCTCTGCATCCTTCTCTGGGCCATTCCTCCCTTATCCCCTTATCAGAGTTCTTACCCAGCCTGGCACTAATCCTACATACAGGACACTGGCAGCTCTGGTCTTCTGAGTTCTTTCAGTGTTTTCCAGACAGACAGCAAAGTGCTGCTGTTGAATCTAAACTATAGAGTGAGCACATGGTGGGGAGGATATGACCAGTCTATGGCACATCCTGGAATTACTTTTTTTTTTTTTTTTTTTTTTAAACAATAATTTGCTAGGAAATTGTCATTTAATTCCCGTGCTTTAGCATGAGCTTAGAAGGAAATAGAGTTTGATTTGAACTAAATTGCTGCTGCTTTCCAAGGTCCTTGCATACAGCCCCTGAGCTACAATGCAAATAATAAACATCAGCAGCTGATGACAAACGAAACTGAAGGTTGGAGGTCAGATACCCCATCCTCCAGAGTGCCTGCGAATTGCCTTCACTCCCTTTGCAGCTGCCTGTCTCTCCCTGAGACCCAAGCAGTGCTCGGTATGCAGCACAACCACTGTTAGGGCAGCACAACACTGGTGCAGAGAATGATGCTACCACCGCCAGGCCAGGTGTGGGTGCTAGGGGATGGATGCTCAGGGGATGGATGCTGGGGGATGGATGCTCTGGGCACAGATGCTAGGGGATGGATGCTAGGGCAATAGATGCTGGGGGGTGGATTCTCAGGGGATGGATGCTCGGAGGCGCATTGGCACGCACACAGCATTCATTAAAAGTGGATTAGGTGGAACAAACAGACCAATGCTGCAGAAAAGGAATGAATGCAGAGCGCAGGAATTGTTGGAGGAGTGGGTGACAGGAGCTGATTGGGGAAGCTGGGGCTCGGGTGGTGTGTGCGGAGCCGGGCTCTTTGCCTCAGCAGTCCCTCTTAAAGAACCATCAGTAAAAACTATCAGAGGGTATTTGGTGACAGGAAGATTAACCAGGCATGAAAAGTTAAAAGAACGCTGCTCAAAAGTGAGTTAATTAATTTTTTAGGATGAAAAGCAGCTTTCCATGTTAGCCTCTGGGTTCCTCTCCCCCAAACATTAGACAAAATTGCATTGTTTACAAAAATTTATTAATACAAACTTTACACACTTTATATAACAGTTATCAAAGTCCTAATTATAGATATCAGGTGTGTCATAATACTTTGCTGAAGTTCTTTTTATATCCATTTGCACACAAAATAAGTTCTCTGAGACTAACATCTACCTAAACTATCACTGCGTCTCAGGTCTGCTCGAGGCTCGGTAAGGCTGTTGGCGTTCCTAAAAAGTACACAGAGGATAACCGAGGTGATCACTTGGTGATGCTCGCAGCTAGCCACGGAACTCGAACAGAGAAGGTCAGAAACAAAACTTCAGGAGAGCCCTATGGCATCACACCACAGCCGACACGAACACAGCAAACTCTGCCCATCGCCAAAGAACAGAAAGAAGTACGACTAAAACGCAAGCCGATGTGTTGCAGCATCGTAGGGCCACTAGATAGCCATCCGTCAACTCGTGGCGATTGACAAGGTGAAGAGAAGGCACGAAAGCTGCAAAACCGCTCCCCGCGTCCCTCGGCCAAGCTGCGGGGCGGGCCAAGCTGTGGCAGCGGGGTTCGGAGCCGGCCCGCCCTGTCGGGCCCTGCCCCGTAGCGCAGCCCCGCAGCGTGAGGAGCCGGGGCCGCCCCCGGGCTCGGGCGGTGCCTTTGGGAGCGGCCCGTCCGCGTCCTCCTCCGGAGCCCGCCCCGAGCGCTCCGCGGGTGCGCGCCGAGACAGGAGTCCGTACAGAGAGAGGTGGGGTGGAAATGGTTTATCTCGTTCGAAACCGGACCACAGGTGAACACTACACATTCTTGTATGACAAAAGGTGGGTTTTATGAAATCAATTTTACTAAGCAATAAGCCAGAATGTAGAAAAATACAATTTTACCTCCAAACTCAATAAACAAGGAACAAAAACGTTCGTCGTAGTGCATAATTCTTTAGTGGTAGCTACAACAGGGGTTCCTAGACTTGTACAACAGAGCTTGCATAAAACAGAACAAAGGAGTGAGAGAGCGTTCACAACCGTTTTGTCGGGTATTTTTTTTTTTTTTTTTCCCCGAAAGAACATAACCTGAAAAGGTGACTCGGGCGGCTTAACAGCGCTCGGAAAGTGCCAAGAGAGGGGGAGAGGCGGGAAGGGCTGCGGGAAAAGAGCAAAACAATCCAAGGAAAAGAGCGACTCCGACCGACAAACGCACAGGCGAGAGACTCGCTGGCTGCGGGCGGGGGGAGCACGGAGAGCAGCTCAGAGCCACGCGCGGCGCTTCGCAGCCCGCACCGGAGGGGGAGCGGGGCCGCTCCCTCTGCCCCGCACGGCTCCGCACTGCGCCGTGGGCGCTCCGCAGCCCGCAGCCGGGAGAGCGGTGCGCTTGGCACCCGCTGTCCTCGCTGCGGGTCGGCATCGGGGGGCCTGGAGGGCTTGGGGGTCTGATTTTTGGTTGTTTTGTTGTTGTTGTTGCTGTTGGTTTGCTCGTTTAGCTATTCTCCCTCCGATAGGCATAATTTGCATCGAGCTGTTGCTGAATCCTCCTCTGCGCTCATCGCTCGAGGAGGCACTGATACGGATAGGACCAGAATCAAAGAAAAAGGGGGAAAAATAGAGAGAGAGATCGAAATCTCGAGGCCGGGGGGACCCCATCCTGCTGAGCCCTCCCTATGCACAGCGGCACACGGTGAAAACTGAGGTCTTCGCCCCCGTGGCGAATAAAAACAGTGCCCTTTTCGTTTCCGTTACAAAAATAGGAGCGCTGTTCAAAGCGGTGATTGTCTTTTTTCGTCTATTTATTTTCTATAAAAACATAAACAGCTCAGGCGAACTCTCGTCCTGGTGCAGCTTGGTATGAAGAATCGCTCTTTAGTATTCGTAGCAGTATTTATATATATATATTTATATCTCATATATAACTCAAGGATTGGTCCACAAAGTAGATCTGTGCGTTTCTCTAGTGCTTTCGTACAAAAGAAAAACCATATTATTATCAAAATATTCATTTAATGGCTTTACTTCATACATAAATACATGTTTGGGGAACACGGGAGCGGCGGTCTTTCCGTCACTTTGGAAATGACTTTTGTTTGGGTTTGGGTGGTTGGGTCTCTCTCTCTCTCTCTCTCTCTCAATCTCTCTCTCTCTCTCTCTCTCTCAGGACTACGCACGGCAGCGGCGGTTGCTCATCGCTACAAATACGCTACTCGGCGTCCTTTGTTTTTAACTCTTTGTTTATACCTTTTCCCCAGGACGGCCGCTAAGTATTTCTTGACAGCCATTTGTTTCCGGTAGCGGCTGTAGCTGTCCGTGAAGATGCCGTCTATGTGCCGCTTGCTGAGCGGTTCCGCCTCGTCCCCCAGGCCGCTGCTGGCACCGCTGCAAAGCACCGAGAAGGACACAACCATCAGAAGGAGCCCTCCCTCCGCGCCCCAACCCCAACCCCGGCCCTAACCCCCAGCCCCGGCCCTGCATCGCGCGGCAGACAAAGGGCGGGGCGGTGCGGAGCGAGGCGTCTCCCCCACGCCATGCATACATGCATACATCGCGTTCCCGGAGGGGTTCGCTCCGATGGCACCACCCGGGGCTGCCCCGAGGGAGGGACGGCCGAGCCCCGGGTGCGGCTGCTGCTCGCTCCGGCAAAGCACCGCGGGGAAATGGGGCCGCCCCGCCCCGGCCACCGCCCGCCGCGCTTTGTTCGCTCCCGTCCCCGCCGCAGCCCTTACCCGACCCGCTTGGCCATCAGGGAGTGAAGGTATTTCCTGGCGGACAGCTGGCCCAGGACTTTCCTGTAGGCTTTGCTGAAGATCCCATCGGCGTGCCTGCCGGGGAGCACGGCCCGTCAGCGCCCATCACCGAGGCTCGCCCCCCGGCACTGGGCCGCCGCCGCCCGTCCTCCCCGCATCCCCCCCGGCCCCGCTCCCCGCAGCACCGCGGCCCTTCTCCTCCCTACCCGGCACCCCGGCCGGAGGTACCCACCCCGGGCCCGGCTTCATCACCCCTCCCCGACTCCGCGTTGGCCGGGTGGGTCGGCATTACGATTATTTTCGCCCGTTGGGTGTTTTCCCTTTCCCCCCGCCCCGGTCCTATCCGCCGCCCCGCCGTCACCTCTTTCCCAGCGGGTAGTACAGCGCGTACACCTCGCCCAGCGCGGACGGCGGCCCGGCCACCCCCAGCGGCTCCTGATCGTAGGCGAAGTCCTGCAGGGTGTTCCCGTCCTCGTCGTACACCTCCTCCTCCAGCCTGCGGTAAGCACGGGAGGGGCTCAGCCGGACGTCTCCAGCCCCGTCCCCGCCGCGGGACCGTGCGCCGACGGAACGGGGCTGCGCTCGGCCCCACCGGGCTCTCCCCGCGCCCCGCTCCTCCCCGCCGCGCCCGGAACCGGGGTGGGGCCTGCGCCCGCCGCTGGGTTTCGTTGAGCGGTTCCTCTGCCCTTCGGGATCTCTCCGCTTTGCCCCCGCCCCAGCCCCTCCCCGCCGCTCTCCCTGCGGTGCGATGTAGGTCACGGTACGATCCGGGCGGCTATTTTTGTCTGGGAGCTTTAGCAGAGGTATTAATAATAGATGCCGCTAAAGTGTTCGGCTCCTGCTAATAACGGAGCTGAATGGAAGGAGCCGACAGGAGGGAGCTGGGGGCCTCCCGAGCCCCACGGCTGCTGCTTCCCGCGGGGAGCCCCGCCAGAGGTACCCCACAGATGGGACTCCGTAGAGGGCACCCCATAAAGGACACCCCGCAAAGGAAACCCAATAAAAGGCGCCCCACAAATGGCTCCCTGTAAAGGGCACTCTACGAAGGACATCCCACAAATGACACCCCACAAATGGCACCCCGATAAAGGACACCCCACAAACGACACCCTACAAATAACAGCCCGCGAAGGACACCCCACAAGTAGCACCCCACTGAGGACACCCCGTAAGAGGCACCGTGCAAATGACACTCCACAAATAGCATCCCGCAAAGGACAGTCCAGAAAGAAGTCCATGTAAGGGACACCCAACAAAAGATACCCCACGAATTGCACCCCATAGAGGACACTCCACAAAGGACACCCCACAAAAGACATCCAATAGAAGACACCCCACAAAACGACACTCCACAAACAACACCCCGCAAAGCGTACCCCACAAATAACGCCCCGCAAAGAACACCCAGCAAAGAACATCCAATACACGATACCCACAAACGACACTTCCTCTGACCCCCGCCCCGCGGGACCCTCCGCTCAGAGTTCAGCACTGCGGGGCGGGACAGCGGCCCCGGCCCCAACCCCCCCCCCCCAACCCCCCCCTTCCACAAAGCCCGAATGGGCTGCGGGCAGCCGGGAGCACAGCCCCAAATGGGAAACTCCGTGTGACACCCCGACGCGAGCAGCAACCCCGACTATGTAACACAGAAAAGAAATGCGAGCACCTCACGGCCGGGAGGGAGGTGGCATAAAGACGGGTAAACGCTGAGGGAGGGGGGACTGAACCCTTGCAAACTCTCTATGGATCTCGCATCCTCACGCCGCCCCGGCCCCAGGCAAGTACACAGTGTACCCCCAAAGCGGAGGGGATCCGGGTTACTCGGACAGCCCCGAGGCTTGGGGGAAACCCACCTGAGCGCCGGGTACTGGAGTCCAACGGCTGGTGAGCAGTAGACGCTGCAATGCATTATTATGCCATAAACCAGAAGGGCTAGGAGCGCTTTGCTACACATTGCCACTCTGTGCGGGAGGGAAAGGAAAAGCGCTGTCAAAAAAAAAAAAAAAAAAAAAAAAA